GTACTTGATCCAGACGATAACACATTGCTGTTCAAGGCATCGCAGGCCAAAATGGAGCTAGAAGTAGCTAGCTTGGAGGCTGGTCCGAGATTAGCCACAATCGGACTAGCCGAGGTTACGGCTACACAACAGACCATGCTGCAGAAGACCATCAACGAGGCCCTATCCCGAGCCCCGACAGGCTTGGGATGTGCGGCAGGCTTCGAGCACGAGATTCGGGTCGATGATACGAAGCCAATTAAACAGCGTTACTACCCGGTATCGCACAAGGTCGAGCAGGAAATACATAGACTGGTAAGGGAAATGTTAACCCAAGGGGTAATCGAACCAGCAGATAGTGGCTGGTCGAGCCCAGTGGTTATGATACGTAAGAAGGACGGTTCGTATAGGTTTTGTATTGACTTCAGAAAGGTCAACAAAGTCACTGAGCCGAATGCGTATCCCTTGCCGTTTATGCAGGATATATTAAGGCGCTTGCGAAACGCGCGCTATATATCCACGCTCGACCTCAGTAGCGCGTATCACCAGATCCCACTCAAGATCGAATCTCGGCCGATCACGGCCTTTACCGTACCCGGACTGGGACATTACCAGTTCGTACGAATGCCGTTCGGTCTCTCGTACGCCGGTGCCACCTTCCAGCGGTTGATCGATAGTGTGATCGGTCCCGAATTAGGCGAATTTGCCTTCGCCTATTTGGACGATATCATAGTGGTATCGTCCAGTTTCGAGGATCACCTACGACATTTAAAAACCGTATTGGACAGGGTGTGCGAAGCTGGCCTCTCGATTAATCGAGAGAAAAGCGTCTTCTGCAAGTCTGAAGCCAAATACCTCGGCCTGCTGATCAACCGCGAGGGGATCAGGCCAGATCCTGAAAAGGTGCGCTCTATCATGGAGTACCCACGGCCAGGAAACGTGCGACAGCTGCACACCTTCCTGGGGGTAGCTTCATGGTACCGCAGATTCTTGACCGACTTCGCCATGCACGCTCAACCGTTAACGAGGTTAACAGGAAAAAAGAGCGAATATGTGTGGGAAGAGGAACAGGAACAAGCCTTCGCCAAAATTAAGGCACTCATGATGTCCGCACTATGCCTGGGATTACCAGAACCTGATGGGCAGTGTGTGCTGGAGACGGATGCTAGCGCTACCGGAATCGGGGCCGTCCTGATACAAAAAGCAGGAGACGGCGACCGAATCATAGAGTACGCTAGTAGAGTCCTTAATCCGGCTGAGCAAAATTACTCAGCTACGGAGCGCGAATGCTTGGCGGTCGTGTGGGCCATCCAAAAATTTCGCCCATACATAGAAGCGTACCCGTTCAGGGTGGTAACTGATCACAATAGCCTGAAATGGCTATACAACCTGAAAAATCCAATTGGACGTCTCGCCCGATGGGCCTTACAACTTCAAGGCCATACTTTCGAGATCGAATATCGAAAGGGGGCAGACAATGTATTGCCCGACGCCTTATCACGCGCTTTCGAGCCCACGAGGGCAGAGGTTGGCTCAATGAACCAGCCGAACCCAAGGAACAGCGCCTGGTACACGGATCAATTCCGACGCGTCGAGAGCCAACCAGAACAATATCCGAATTGGAAAGTTGTCGGCCGGGTGATGTATCACCGAAAGCCGAATTACGATCATCAAGGAGGAGACCGATATGGCGACGAATGGAAACTCGTCGTGCCCCCGGAAGAACGCAAAGCGGTGTTGTTCGAAAACCATGACCTAGAGACGGCAGGACACTTAGGACGCGAGAAGACCTTCGCCCGCGTCGCCCAGTCCTATTACTGGCCGGGAATGTACACGGATGTGAAGGGATACGTCCGGAAGTGCCAGGTTTGCCAACAGTGCAAGGTCGAACAGCGACCGCCGCGCGGGCTCATGCAGGACCGAACATGGTCTATGCCTTGGCAAGTGGTCGCGGGCGACATCGCCGGACCCTTTCCGAAGAGCCCACGAGGGCACGAATACGTCCTGGTATTCATCGACGTATTCACACGATGGGTCGAATGTATACCCATACGTAGTGCTAACGGCAAGACGATCGTGAAGGAACTTCGGAAGCGAATAATCCTACGTTTCGGCACGCCAAAGATCTTCTTGTCCGACAACGGCACCGAGTTCCGCAATCAGTTGGTGGACGGGTACCTGAGAGATCAGGGGATAAAACGGACCTTCACCCCAACCTATACCCCGCAGGCTAACCCTACGGAAAGGGTTAACCGCACCTTGAAGACGATGATAATGTCGTATCTGCAGGGGAATCATAGGGAATGGGACCGAGCGCTACCCGAACTCATGTTCGCGTTGAATACGGCCGTCCATAGTTCTACCGGGGTTAGTCCGGCCATGCTCAATTACGGCAGACAACCGGGAGCCCCGAATACTCTCCGGAAACGGATGGACGAGCTCGCCGAGCAAGAGGAGAGTCTGCTTCGAATCGGGCAATGGAACGAGCACATGCAGAATAGCCGTTCCGCCATTCAGCAAGCTCACGAGAGCGCCTCGGATGAGTCCCTGAGGCAGTCCAAATACTACAATGCCAAGCACAGGGACCACAGGTTTAAAGAAGGTGATTGGGTGTGGAAAAAGAATCGCATACTGTCCTGCGCGGCGCAGGGCATTTCCGTGAAACTAGCACCCAAATTCATCGGCCCCTTTATCGTCACGAAGGTACTCGGTGCCAACTCATATCGCCTCGCCAACCAACAGGAGGAGGTCACGGAGCTAATACGCGCTAAGGACCTCAAACCCTATTATGGACGAGACGACGATATACCGGAAAATGGGACTCGTACACGAGACGACGACGAGACCACTACCGCCGAGGGAACCAAGGCAATGAGCGTCCCGCCCAACGCGAGCGACACGCCGATACACGGAAACGGGAGCGCCGACACTTCAGATAATACACTCCGAAATGACGACGCGACAACTCCGAAATCACCTCGCCGTACTCGCCGTAATCCCCCCAGCCGAGTCCCACTAGATATCCCTCCTACTAACCCGACGAAGCGCCCACGAGGAAGACCTCGTAAGTCCGCGCAAACTACACACACTACACAACATCGACAAACAACACGAGCCTCTCCTCCCATCATCGTGAAGAGGAAAAGGGGCAGACCACCGAAAGCGACAACCGTGAATGCATGATACACGGCGAACGAAGGACCTGGGAGACCGACGCCAAGGACCCCACCTTCGACTCCGGCGACGAAGGTCCTGGGCAGCCGAACAGGCGCCCACCTTCGATATCCAAAACTATTCAGGATACTAACTTGCTGGATAATTACAGGATGCAGATCACGCTCGAACAATTCGAGCAAGCGGCAGCCGCCCTCATCGACCTGGACCTGGGTCCCGCCGTTGAAGGGGTGGTACATGCCGCCTTGCACCTCGAAAGTACCCGAAGAGAAGAGGAGGAGCAAGCACGGGTGCGAGCTCACGAGAGCTCGTCATCCGTGCTCATCGAAGAACTCCCGACGGCGGACCCTACCGCGATACCGTCGACGACTCCCGGTATCGCGCACGGCGATACCACGCCGCTACCCGGACCCCCAGCGGGATCTATCCCGCTGAAGGCCCCGACATCATCCATTGGATGACCAGGGCGCAGAATTACCCGGGAGACCAGCCAGGTGATCTTCCCCGTGGGCAGGGCCACCGTTATACTACCCGGCGAATAAAGATGGGAGTGAACATCACGTGGATTATAATCCTTTATTATCCTCTCTCTTTTCCTCCTCGGAAGGGACAGCGCTAATGGAATTATCGTCGAGGACCCTATAGGTCCAGACTGGAAGGGGGCTGTGACGGTAAACGTCAAATTAGCGCTGATTATTTAACTTAATTGCTGTCTGTGAGGGCAGCACCTTCCGGAGGGACGAAATAGGTAACGAAGGAATTCGGCACGCAAGCAGATGGAACGCGCGCGACAGAATTTGAACCAGTGAAGCACCGACCATCATAGTGTCCGTCCGCTTACGCTACCGCTTCTATCGATTCACGTGCCCTTATCAACCATACGCCAGATCAGCGATTGCCGAGAGTGCCAGATAGCCGTGACAGCTGCCTCCAAGGAGTCATCCAGCCACTAGCTGAAGGCCAAGCAGTGTGTGTGTGTGAGATTTCGCCATCGAGGGCGAAACCACTCCGTGCGCGCATTCGCGACTCGCGAGCAAAACAAACAATACAAAAACTGTTCCGTGCTGTGCGACTTGTCGTGGTTTTCTCCAATCGCCTGCAAGTAGAAGGTAAGCTGGCCAGCTTAATTTCGCGATCGCGATCATATGAATAATAATTTGATTCTAACATTCGATGCGTGCATGTAACAGCGTCTCTATTAACAAAGAACAGCGAGCGTACCGGCAAAGCGTGTTGTCGACGAGCGAGCGTTCATGTAAACAAACGCGCGGGCCGACCTTTTGTAGATTTTGAGGGATAATAAAAGATCCAATTTATATTACTAACAAGTGTTTTCTTTGATTCTCTCATATCTTATAGCTTCCACTCACTCATTTTAGTATAGGTTATTAACAATTATTGGTTGACTGACGCATACTTTCTCGTGCTCTCCCGGATAAGTAGTGAGCATTGACAACTACGCGTGTCCTTTTAATATAATCGCGTGAATATGATAATTAAACGGTTTCATCCCGTTACAACATAAAAGGTAAAAGGCTCCTAGCCAAAATTAGCTCTTAAAACCTGTTTACTCTTTCACATATTAAGTTGTTTAGTTTAACATGTAGGGTTTGAATTAAGAAATTACATAAAACATCATTATTTTTAAAAACTTATTATAAAATAGCAAACTCAACAGAATTTCTTCATTACTAGCGCATATACCATATAGTATTCTTATCATTGTCGCATGTTAAGTTTCTATTAAAATTTGATAAATTTACTTTTTTTTTATTGCATTCTGTTAAAACATAATTATTTTGCAAATACTTTTTATATTCTTGAATTTTAACAATATTTGATTTTAGATTCTACAAGTGGCTTGACTAAAATAAAAAGAAATGATCTGGATTACAATTGCAAATTTATAATCGCTTACGCAGGTGAATCTATAACATGGGAAATGAACTTTGATGCACAATATCCTGATCTTGGTCCTGATTTAATATTAAGAAAAGAAGATTTCTGGCACGATGAGAAGATGGAAGAATTGATAAGTAATATACCAAGTTTAGTTAAATGGCATAGTTTAAACGATGTTCTTTTATACGAAATTGTGAATAATCTTCTGTACTTATTAGAAAAATACGAGGTATATAAAATTTGTATTATATATATTTATATATATAGAATTAAGTCAACTATATTATATTTGTTATTTTTATAGTCTGGTATCAGGTAATGTTTTAAGCGGTTAAAGTTTATTTTTGCTCAAATACCTAAATAAAAATGATTTTAGCAGTGAAAATAAACGCTCATCTTGCAGAGCAGTATTGGCCAAGTGCCTGTCAGTATACAGGGTTTCCAAAAATGTTCGGAAATATCCAAAAACTTTCCAGACAAAGTAATTTTTCAAAATAATTTAGGTCATTCTTGACGTAACTTTTTAAGAGAAATCCATTGGTGACTTTGAATGTGACCTTAAGCGTGACATTCAAGATTATTTGACGGTCAGCTTTGTTTATTTCAATGGGTACCCCTATGTTTGACCTCGGATTCGGAAAGAGCAGAAAATTCTAGATTCAGATAAGGTCAAATAGTAGGAGTCTGATTGACCCCTAAGGTCATATGAGGATAAACCTCATTTATTTCCTTAATCTTTTGACCCGAATAATCGCGTAAGGGTAATGTTCAGCAAAAAATATTACATAAAAATTTCTCAATTTCGTGAAAGCCACATTCCCATGATTTTGCTTTTGTCCTTGAAGGTCACTCAAATACAAACTGTATTACCTTATATGAATTTCCCGTTCTTTCCGTATCCGGGGTGAAAAATAGAGGTTCGCATTATCCTTTGACCTCCAAGGTCGAAGGCAATGTCATGGGAATATGGCTTCATCGAAGTTGAGCTATTTTCGTCTGAAATATTTTTTGCTAAACATTACCCTTACCCGTACATTCGGATGAAAAGATAAAGAAAAAAATAAGGTTTATCCCCCACATGACCATGGAGGTCACCCAGATCTCAACTATTTTACCATACCTGAATGTAGAATTTCCGGCTCTTTCCGAATCCGGGGTCATAAATAGGGATTACCATTTAAAAAAAACAAAGCTGACCTTCAAATAGCGTTGAAGGTCACGCTCAAGGTCACATTCAAGGTCACTAATGGATTCCTCGTAAAAGGTTACTTCAAAATTAACCTTGATCGTTTTGAAAAATCAATTGCCAAAAAAATTTTTAGGTGTGTCCGGCTTTTTTCAACACTGTATATATCTTTGATTTGTAACATCTACAAAGATCGTTTGAAAAGTCTGTGCAAAAATGAAAACTATTTGAAATTTTGTTATAAATCTTTTTTATTTTTCAACATAGTCTCCTTCTAGCTCATACACTTTATCTAATGCCACTCTAGTTTGTTGATCCCTTTCAAATAATAGGATTTGTCCAAGTCTATAAAATAGGTATTCGTTTCTGCAATCACCTCTTCGTTTCAATAAAATCTTTTCCCGTCAAACATTTTTTCATATTAGGGAACAAATAATAGTCTGTCAGAGCCAAGTTTGGAGAATAGGTGGATGTAAAACGAGTTGGAACCCTATTTCCATCAGTTTTGCGGCCACAACTGCTGTGGTGTAAGCTGGTGTGTTATCATGATGGAAGAGGAGTGAATGAATGAAGTGTTATCATGAAAGAGTTATTCTTGCAACTCAGTTTTTAAACGATGCAATAGCGATGAATAATATTCATCTGTAATAGTTTTACACTTTTCTAAATAGTCAATAAAGATTATTCCTTGCGAATTCTAAAAGACAGTCACCATAACCTTCCCGGCCAAAGGAATGGTATTTGTTTTTTTTAGTATAGAATCCTGCTTGTTTTAGTTTCCCCTTAGTGTAGTCCTTGTTTAGCCTCTTGAGGTGTGTTGCCTTTAATAGAGTAATGTTTTGTGATAGCGAAAACCGCTTAGTAGCGATTGTTCTGTCGTCTCTGGCCTCTTGCAGTCTGCACGCACTATTGACTGCTGCAGGACTTCGTATTTTGCTTTTGTTGGCTGTTGGTTTAATATGTCAAGTCGTCCTTGGTCTCTGCAGCATATCCGTCGGCGTTCGTTTCATCACCACTGACGTTCGTGTCCACCGGAGGAGACAGCGTGGCAGCTGGAGGCGACCAGCACAACGTAAGCACTCTTTTCTCTCTCTTCACTTCTTTCGTTTCCTTGCAAGCGTGCGCAGACTCAAAACGATCTGATACTCCGCGTTGAGCAGAAATGCAATCGCTGGGCGACCTTTAATTGTCTGAATCTAGTGGAGAGTCTCACCGCAATATGCCACGCAGAAATACTGATTTACAGGAGTTGAGCACTTGTTCGCAAACACCGCTTCGCTCCGAGCATTTGTCCGGATGGGCCACGCTTGTGAAAGACTTTTTTCTATTATTATTCTTCCTTTTTTTTCTTCAATTAAGATTGTAATTTTCTTTTTTTTTTGTAATTAATAAACGTAGGTTTGGATTTTTACTTTTTTCTGCTTCCCATCCCAAGCTCTCTTACGCGTGAACGTGCCAGCCTACACGCCCAGTAGGTTGTTCAGTAGCCGAAGCCTTTTTGCCTTTCAAATTTCCACGTAAATAATTTGATAAATAAAGTTTTAGGTAAATATAAATTGTAAAAAAACGACTCTCCCTTTATAGTTTAATCAACACACGAATTTTTTCACATAAAAATGTTGTGGCTACTTTAAAAGTAAAGTGACAACGGCTAAATTCTATTTAATGATCCCCCCTTCTGTAAATTAATTTAATTTTGAAATAAGTATTGATGTTTTATTTGAAAAAATTATTTTTTGGTGAAACGCCAGAGCCGATGAAAGATTATCACAGTCGGTGGTTTAATCAATTACAAAACGATTCATCTGTCGTAGAGTAGGTTTCTGATTAATTTTTCAATAGAATAATTAGTTTGAAAAGCGCATAAAAAAGATAGAATCCTAAGATTCGTTCGTTTGGTTGTTTTGTTTGTAAACAAAGTGGCGGTAACTTTTGTATGGTTATTCATAACCTCGTATCTTTCATGCACGTGTTTTACTGTGCGCAATCGTATTGCATAATATGACTAATGATATTGTGAATGAGTTATGTGGAACTTGGAGGCCAACGATGCCGAGGAGCCTGAAACGATAATTAATTGCTCGAAATTTTTCTTGACCATTGAAAGATATTCGAAATGTATGTCAACGATTTAGGAAACCACGGTGCAATTATCGATGATTGAAAAATATTCCAAGCACTTGTTGCTGTTAGTAATATATATAAGCAGAAGCAGCGAAAACAGATCTAAATGTCAGACGACAATGTCGTCAGCATCAAGTTATTCACTATTGCTAAATTTCTGTTATTCATTCTTCCACGATTATTCCATTAATGCTGTTCTCTTTTTCACTCTCGTTTTTATTTATTTTTTTCTTTTTTTTTAACAATATAACCATTGCACTTTTTAATCTCATAGATTCTGCCTGTCCGTTGCTTCCACCATTGATGTCCCTCGTGATGTGGCTGGTGGTGCTGGGTCTAGGTTACCATCAGAAATCTATACTTGATCGCTAAGTTAATCGAGGTGTTGTCTATAATGAACGCAAGTAGTCAGGCAATTCTCTACATTCAATAATTGCTCTGAGCACTTTGTTATTAAACTATTTATTTTGATCAAAGCCAAAATCAGAAAAATCGACGAATTTTAACTTGGCCATTACCGTGGCTGTCGAATCAACAAGACTTTGAGATTGGTAAAATCGGGCGACGATCTGCTCGCCTGATAAGGTTGCTGTAGCCAGTGACGCTGAAAGATCTCCTATACCATCAAGTATCTAGGTTTTCTGGGCTCAGAGAAGAGACAGCGCAATCAGTCTAGATTACAGATGACAGTAATTGATCATCGAAAAGTATTCTCGTGCAAATAACAATGATTATTTTATGCAATTCCTTCAGCTCTTTAAGTGCTTACAAATTTGTTTAGGAACGATCGATTCAAATTAAACAAGTCTATAAGTAATGATAGATATATTTTATAAAAATTGAAAAATCAAACGCAAAGTAACTATATGAGCTAGTTTTCTAAATGTCAACCTTAATAAGAGATACCGTAATAATAATAATATTAAGATACCTTAATAATACCTTAATTAAGGTCAAGATACGATAATAAGATTTGAATAAAAAAAAATTTTTTTTAATGTGCAAAATAATATAAAGCGATCCCCATAACAAGAAATAAAATACACTATAACAAAACGCGAGATTTTAGAGTAGTTTTTTATGGTTTGAGTGTACGTTTGAGTGATTCCAGAGATTGTGCATGGTGTACGGTATACTGAAAACGACGTACGATAGACGGTGCACTGACGACGACGAACTGTATACGGTGGATAGAAAACGGCGGACTAGACGGTAATCGTTAGAAAGTGTACGATATATAGTACATGGAAGGCAATGAACATCAGGATAAATGATAAACGCGGCAGACGATAAAAATGCGTAACTCTTTGGCTCTGAATGGTTTAACGTCGTAGATCAGACAGAGAATTAGTCTCCTTACACCTACATACGATACAATAATTTAAAATAGATTACAAAACACACTGTCAATTGCTTTGCAAGTCAATATTTTGAATATTGCGAAAAACGCATTACATGGTTGATTACATTTGATAAATAATAAGTTGAACGAATTAATGAATAAATCAAGTATTGATCAAATATATGCAAGCTTTTTCATTGCTATAATTCAGTGCAGTTATTTTTCTTTGATGATTTTGTGAGGATGATGTTATGCTATATAAAAATTGCATCACTACCTATTGCTTGCGAATGCATTGTAATTAATACATTAAAAGTCTGGGCATCAAATACTATCAATACAGCTAAGCTTGATCACTTGCGCGATGCGCTTATGAAGTTCGATCAATCTCGCACGTTTCAAAAAATATCTTAAGCTTGCTATTCACTATATATATTTTTTATGTCATATTTTTTATCAGAGCTTTTATTTTTATTATTATTTACGTAATATTAATCCTTTCATAGAACAAATGCACAAATGTAAGTTTATAACCAATTAATCCCAGCGAATGTTCTTCAACTATCGGTCACTTTGT